CTGCTTGTTCTTAGTCAGAATGTCAAAAGGCATTGAAGGCCAAGAGCCAGGGATTAGGCCTTTTCAGAAGAAGCTGAGGAATGACAGCCTCCTCGTTTCTGTCATTTCAGATTTTCTTTAAAGTGGGTTTAAAGTGAACCTATGTTTTGCCTTTTCAAAGCAACATATTTGTTTTATTCCCCCTCCCAGCAGCACATACCATCATTACTTCCCTATCCCTCCATAAACCTGCTGGTTACAAAGAGTGGAAGCCTTTAGTTACCTTCAAGACGTAATTGGAGCTTCCACAGGATTGAGGACTCCTGTGATAGTGGTGGGTGTCTAAGTGGCCTGTCACCAAGGACCAGTACTGTCACTTGGGAGGAAGTCATGAATCACATGCTCTTACATGCTCAGACGTACCAGGTATTGCTCTTTGCTCCCAGCTACAGAAAAGAGCATCGGTGAGTGAAGGAATGGAAACTGCTGGTGGATCCTCCACCTAAGTGAACCTATCGTAATGCCTTGCTTGGAGGAAGCACAGATTTGCTTCAAAGCCCAACTGAACCCTCACTATTTACTACTGTAATGCTATCATCCTGCATGTACAGAAATACAGCCTTGCTCAAAATTCTTAGCATGGAGAAACCTTTACAATAAATTTCAGGTTTTGGGGAACCCTGGCCACTAATTGCTATATCAACAACTAACGGTATATTAGTGTGGTGGTCAGTGGGAATAATGCCTCTTACATTGGTGATCAGTGGGAGGAATATCCCTTATATTTGTGGCCAGTGGGAATAATGCCTCTTACATTGGTGGTCAGGGGGAAAAATGCCTCCTATAATGGTGGTCAGTGGGAGGAATACCCCTTATATTGGTGGTCAGTGGGAATAATGCCTCTTACATTGGTGGTCAGTGGGAGGAATATCCCTTATATTGGTGGCCAGTGGGAATAATGCCTCTTACATTGGTGGTCAGTGGGAAAAATGCCTCCTATAATAGTGGTCAGTGGGAGGAATATCCCTTATATTGGTTGTCAGTGGGAATAATGCCTCTTACATTGGTGGTCAGTGGGAGGAATATCCCTTACATTGGTTGTCAGTGGGAATAATGCCTCTTACATTGGTGGTCAGTGGAAGGAATATCCCCTACATTGGTTGTCAGTGGGAATAATGCCTCTTACATTGGTGGTCAGTGGGAGGAATATCCCTTACATTGGTGGTCAGTGGGAAGAATGCCTCTTACATTGGTGGTCAGTGGGAGGAATATCCCTTACTTTGGTGGTCAGCGGAAGGAATATCCCCCATAAAAATAGTTAAAATGATTATTGGTGTTGATGGTTACATATCTGAGAGTTAGAATTTGTGAATTACTCAAAAAACCACCTTTGAAGGAATCATAGGGTTTCATGGAACCCTGTTTGAGAAAGGCTGCAATAAAAAACATGCTTGACTTTTTTTTCCAGTGTACTATGTGCTGCAGCAAGCATTAAAATACCACGCTGGAGAGTCATCTGTTGACCTCGCATACAGTGCAGCAGCCTGAATCTCCAGTGGTCCAATATGCCGCTTTGCACACTACTACAAATATAAGCGCTCATGCTCTCTAAGCAGCTCTGGTAATTAGGCAGTGTGCGGGGGAGGGGTATGTTGGACCGCTGGGGACTCGCCCCACTACATTGTATGTAAGAGCAACAGTCTGACTTTCCAAGGTGGTATCTTAACTCTTGCTGCAGCTCACAGTATGTCATACAAATGTGTAGACAGTCATCATTTTGACTAGATATGCAGCCAGACTTCATTAGGTATCAAATGTCTCTTTTTTGCATGAGATCGGTTTTGCATTCCCATACAATTCTTTGAGAACGCTAAATCTGCTTGAAGCAGGTCACATGCAGGTCAGAATGAGGTCAACAGCAGGTAAAATGCACCTTTCAGTGAATTCTAAATGATCTCAGAAGTGTCTTAAACTGATGTCAACTTAATAGAAAACAAGAAATGAAAAGGTCTACTGCATATCAGTAGACAAAAATTACCCTTTATTACAACAAATGGCCAAAAAATCTACTACAAAACACCCCCAAAAGCACAATTCCCACTGTGAAACATAAAAACGGGTAACAATGTTGTTAGCCAACCATCAGCCAAACATTTCAGTCAGTTGCTAAATCCATGGTACTGGTACCTAAGGTGCTATTGCTGAATATTGCACACAACCACAAGACCCCTATGTTACTGAGGGGCAAGAGAGGACAGGACACTCAAGTCAGAATGTTAGCAGTGAAGTTGATAACTAATATTGCCATTGTGACCTCCAATGGTGAGGATAATACCTGCAGCTGAATTAATAAAGGCATCTCAAGTTGTACTCAATGCTATTGTATTCTTAGGGACTACATAATCTGTGTAAGCAGGCCTGTATACTGTAAATGCACATAAATAGCCAAGTGTGCAGGAGCATTGACCTGCACTGACCTACAGAACATAGGCAGCTAATAGAGTGCAGTACAGAAGAGGAAAGCAAGACACATTGATAGTAGACAGTTGCCAAAGCACCTAGCAACTGAAGCAAGTATAAAGCAGTGGTTCCCTATATCAGTGTTTCCCCTTTTTTCAGCCAAGGCACCCTTTAAAAATGATGGGTATTCCCGAGGCACCCTTTAAAATTATGAACAGTCTTGAGGCACCCCATTCTAAAATGTGAGAAACTATTCTAATAGTTTTTATAATGCAGCAACATCCACACTTGTAGGACACTCAGCATTAGAGGTGATTTATTAACTAAAAGGCAGGCTGTCCACCCACTGGCTTGTATACAAGTTTTGGGCAATTTTTAGACATTTTGCCAAGGCACCCTGGTTGAGAAAGGCTGCTCTATATAACCGAAGGAGCATTTGACCACCATAACTGGGGTCAAAGGATCTGGTGAGTGAGTCATCTACACTTCACGGTTCTGAACACGCGGTGAAGATCACAGTCACATTTATTTTTATATTTTTTATATAATTTTTTTTCACATTTATTGATTTTTTTTTTTACCCTCTTTTGAATTTTCTATTACTCTATTTTGGGACAGTTACAAGAGTTGTCAGTAAATTCATGTTTTTTTATTATTTACTTCACATGTTCACTATTGGTTGAATTGCTATACGAAGGGGTTACAATATCTTTTTGGTCCAAGCAAACTTAGCCACCCACGGCCACATCACCCTGAATGCGCCCGATCTTGTCTCATCGCCTACCTATTCTATCTGTATTTCTAAGTATAGAGCAGTGTCTTACCGCAGCAGTTCCAGACATTCAGTCTTCCTCTATGGGTGTACAGGAATTTATGGAGACCTTTTGTGAGCAGGTGCAGGTTAGTCCACCATGAAAGCCCCTCTCCTCACCGCTGCACACACATCACCTTGCTGCCGTCATGGATATTAGGATGGACACCCACTGGGGCTCAGTTAGGATGATGCCTTGGATCCTGGTATACCGGGATGCAGAAGCTAGAACTGCAGCTCAGTTCTTCCACCAACACGTTTCGTCAGTAATGGCACTTTGTCAAGGTTTCATTTTGATGCCATTTTACACAAGCCCAAGGCTTACCAACACAGGACTGTATAGAAATAAATGCAGAAGGGTCAACTGGGCTTTAAGAGGTTTTCTTCTTAAAAATGTTGCCTTCTCAACTTATTCCTGATAAACAATGTCTGCACCCTCTTGACAGCTCTGTCATTTCTTTGTTGGAAAGTGTTCAAGCACACTCTGACTTCCTGCAGATCCTTCTGACAAAGATCTTTCCATTAACATGCATGCTTGCATTGGCATGGAGAGCAGGAAGACATCTGGCTCATCTTGATTAGGGGTGAACAGTAAGAGTACGATGGAAAAATCCATTCTGGTTGCCCGTCAACCAGGGGATGTCCGGAGCTGGGGAGCGCCCACAGACATGCAATCCTTTTCCAGTCTAACCATAATGGATCAGGTAAAGATTGTGTTATGTCTGAACTATGAATGAAGATGATTAATCGATAACATTTTCATGTTCCTATTGTTTGCTGCTAACGAGCCACCCCACCTCCCATCTACCCTCTGGTGAAGAAAACCTGAGCTAATGCATTGCCCGCACGTACAGTTTGCGGAGGAAATGATAAATTCTCCTTCAATTTTCTTTCTATAATAAAGCTGCCTTCTCCAGATATAATAATGGCCAATTTGTCTGCATGCTATTATCGCTGGAATCTGCTGCGAGGGGCTCTGTAAGTCAATTGGAAATTTGTCTAGACTGGTTGTGGCGAGGAGTTGTTCACCGCAGATTTCTGACGTCTCGGGCTTGTTCAGGAGAAACTGAAATTGGCAACATCTGTCAGAGGTGACGAGACTTGTGTGCGCTCTTGTTGAGTGCTGCTGCAGTGGAGCAGAGGGATGGCTGTGACAGGGTCATATAGAATACTGCATCTGGTACAGGTCCTGAGCCCCCAGCTGAAGACAGGCGTAAAGGGAATCTATAGACTTTTCAGTCATTGTGTGATTCTGCATGTATGGCAAATATTCAGGACAAATGCAGCCCCTTTTTTTTTGCTGTGGGGATATGAGGGTGTGCAGGGGACTTCAGATTTTAACTAGGACAGCCGGCATCAGCACAAGGAACACGTTTCAATAAATGTAAGTAATGTCCCTTGTGCTGTTTTTATTGTTTTTTTTTTTTTTTTACTTAAATATAGGCTTTAAAACGGTACATTTTCTGTGTGCTGGATATCTCATCTTAATTGTTGTTAATCACTAGCCTACCGGGCACTTATTCCCCCTTCCTGCCTGGGCCAATTTTCAGCTTTCAGCTCTGTCACACTTTCAATGACAATTGCGCGGTCATGCAACATTGTACCCATATGAAATTTTTATCATTTTTTCACACAAATAAAGCTTTCTTTTGGTGGTATATACTCGCCGTTGTGTTTTTTATTTTTTTGCACTATAAACAAAAAAAGAGCGAAAAATTTGAAAAAAAAGTTTTTCTTTGTTTCTATTATACAATTTTGCAAACAGGTAATTTTTCTCCTTCACTGATGTGCGTTGATGAGGCTGCACTGATAGGCAGCAGTGATGGGCACTGATAGGCAGCACTGATGGGCACTGATAGGTGGCACTGATGGGCACTGATAGGAGGCACTGGTTAGGTGGCACAGAGAGGCAACACTGGTGGGCACTGATAGGCAGCACTGATGAGCTTACACTGATTATGGGCACTGATAGGCAGCACTGATGGGCACTGATAGGCGGCACTGATGTGTACTGATGGGCAGCACTGATGGGCACTGCTGGGTTGCACTGACTGGCAGCACTGCTGGGTGGCACTGCTGGGTGTCACTGATGGCCACTGGTGCGTAGAACTAGTGGGCACTGATGGCCACAGGTGGGTGGCACTTGTGGGCGGCACTGGTGGGTGGCACTGCTGGGCGCTGATCATCAGGGCACTGATCATCAGTGCCCTGATGATCGGTGCCGATCCCTCCTCTGACAATTGCTGATTATCGGCAGTACTTTCCTCACACTGTGACAGTTTGAGGAAAGTGCAGCCGATAACCGGCAACTGCATTTCCCGGTGATCTTCTGTGTCATTGGACACATCTGATCACGTGGTAAAAAGCTGCTGTGATTGGCCTTTTACCACATCACGTGATCAGCTGTGTCCATAGGACACAGTGATTACGGAGATCGCTGGGTGCATGCCTCCGGGGGGCACATGAAAGGGCGCGTCCTGGAAGGACGCCTTATGACGCCCTTCCAGAACTGGCCGGCCGCAGTGAAACCATCATTCGGCTATCTGCGGTCGGCAAGTGCAACCCAGATGCTGTACAAAAAGTTTTAAAGCACGCCATACCTGTAAAAGTAAACAGGACATACTTGATCTTCCTGTTGCCCAAACTGCTGAACTCCACTCTGATCTGTAGAAACTTTTTCATGATATTATTATTATTTTTATTATTATACAGGATTTATATAGTGCCAACAGTTTGCTCAGCGCTTTACAATATAACGGGAGACAATACAGCAACAATACAGTTCAATACAAGAGGGATAGGAGGGCCCTGATCCTTGGAGCTTACAATCTAGGAGGGAGGGGCTAGTGGTACAAAAGGTAGTAGCTGTGGGGGATGGACTGGTAGGAGGAGTAGAAGGTTCCATTATTAGCTGAAGGCAGGATAGGCTTCCCTGAAGAGATAGGTTTTCAGAGATCGCCTAAAAGTGAGCAGAGTAGGCGATAGTCTGATAAATTGGGGTAGAGAGTTCCAGAGGATGGGGGAAGCTCTGGAGAAGTCCTGGAGATGAGCATGGGAGGAGGAGACAAGGGAGCTAGAGAGCAGGAGGTCTTGTGAGGAGCGGAGAGTACGGTTTGGGTGATATTTGGAGACAAGATTGGTGATGCAATTTGGGGCGGAGTTATAAATGGCTTTATATGTTATTGTTAATGTTTTGAATTTTATCCGTTGGGCAATGGGAAGCCAGTGGAGGGATTGGCAGAGAGGGGTGACTGATACAGAACAGTTAGTAAGGTGGATAGGTCTGGCAGCAGCATTCATGATCGATTGAAGAGGGGATAGCCTGCGATGAGGTAGGCCAATGAGGAGGGAGTTACAATATATCCGTACTGAAAACGAATGACAGCCTCATGTCGATGTTCTAGATCCCCCATGGCTATCACTTGTTCCTCCTCTGACTATAGTGAGGGGGAGACTATAGTGATGTGGAGGTTAGAGGAAGGAACCACTGAGTGCTGCAAGAGAACTTGGTTGATGCTCCCGGATATGTTGGCTTCAGTGCAAACTTAAAGTGGTTGTAAATCGCAGACATGAAATATGAACAAAACATATTGCTCTATAGTGTATACTTGTCTCAATAAGGGGACTAAGTGTAATTTCTGTCTGCTGCTTTGTTCCTCTGCTATCAGCATGAATCAATTATGACAAGTTTTTCTGACACCAAGAGCAAAAAAGGTGACAGGGGAGGAACCTCCAGCAGATTGACAGCCTCAGCGTTGTTCCTGTGTGCTTTGTGAAGGGGGTGTGTCGCTTCCCTTCAATCAGCTCTCAGAGCTCTCCTCACTGAGCTCTACTGTGTGTGATTTCAGCTCTCTGTCTCTTTTTTTGACAGAGGAGAGAAGACTGCAGATACACAGGACAACTTATGTAGGAAGGTTTGTTTCATCTCTGTGTAACACATGAGGCCAGTTACTTCAGTGGGTATATGTAAGGGTTTACAATCACTTTAAGAATATGACTTCTCAAGATTGAAGGAACTTGTTTGGTAACAGGCTTGCTTTAGTACACAATGCAGAGCAATTGTTAATGGAGTGTTTTCTCCTTCCAAGTGTGGCTAATCTACAAAACAGAAATAAGAAGGATCAAGTATGTAGAAATGTGAACAATGCAGAACAGCTATGCAGATCAGAGGTTTGGACTTCAACACTAACATTAAACTGTGTATGGTAAATGTTTCACATATAGCTGGTGGGAAAATATCTTTGACTTTATGTATGCATGGCTAAAAAAAAGAGACTAGCGGGAGCCTTCAGGCATCTTCAGCCTTACCCTTGGAACCTGGTAGGGCTCTATTTTGCAACTCTCCAATTCATCTAGAAAGTCAGTGCTTGGCCTCAACCACTGACTGTGCCACACTGATCAAAGAGTTCACCAAATGCAACAGTAAGCCAGGAGGAAGGTGCTGGAAACAGAAACATTTTTAAATGTAGTTGAGGTTTGCAGAATTGATTGCCTCAGGTTTCTGGGCTCTCAAGAGTACATGCCTCGTGATCGTTGATCGTTTTCAGTCATTCGGTCAGTTCATTTTTAGGAACCACATTTCCTCTGTTCCTCTTATCTGCTAACTCCTGTTGGTTTACCCAATCATCTTTTGTGGTTTGCATAAAAGGTTGGAGAACGTGGCGGGGTGGTCCTTTTGCCTACGTTCTTTGTGCTAAAGAGGTGTCCCTCTCTCTCATACTTTCAGTATATTGAAATCAGCCTTTCTCAATCAGGAATTTCTTGAACAATGAGCATTTCTACCTTTTGGATGAAACAACTGACAACAAGGATCTTTTGAGTTATCTGTAAGGGAAGGATTCTTCCCAAGGACAACCATAAATGTAAGGAGCATTCTTCCCAGCGAGAATCACACTACAGTCCTATGAGCTATAAATGTAGTAATAACTAGCTAGGGTCCCTGGGCATTGAAAGTTATTTTAAGGGTTCTTCCACCATATAAAAAGATGAGAAAGGCTGGTTTAAATGTATGCAGGTACTCCAGAACCAACTTGAAACAAGTTGTAGCATCCCAAATGGACCTCTTCTCCAGTACATCAGTGAAGAATATGATACGCAGTCATGTAGCAAAGTCACATAGTAAAGCAAAATGAAACTGCATAGTGTGACTGATTTATTTGAAACAAAGTGAAAACAATTATAAAGGCCACCTCTAACATGCTGGACATGTTTCATCCATTAACTTCATTAGATGCCTTTACTGTAGGGGAGGTGAAAAGTGCCAGGTGATTTGAAGCTGTAATACAGTTTAGCTGTGCTCTTGTGGAGCTCAAGAGTGCCAAAAGACGTAGCAGGAGGAAGAACGGCATAGGGCATTGCTGGTTCTACAGGTAATTTCCTGGATAACGGATGATAGAGAGGCTGTAACACAAGCATTTACAGACCTTCAGAAATACGGGTCTGACATTTCCGTTGAGTGTTGGACATAGTGAGTATTTGTTTGTAATTGAAAGCATCACTGTTGGAGTACTATACGTGTTTTTTCTGTGCCTTCATCATTTGTTATAGACATAAAACATGGGAAAATATGCGTGCATTGTAGAGATGTCCTGAATATGGTCTCTTTGATTTTTCCCATGACGCGAAGGTCACAGCAATCGACAGCTTGACACACTCTCAATAATTACAGTGTTTATGAGGCCCGTCCATGAGCCTTGTCCTGAGTCTTGATGACCAAGGGTACCAATTGGCTTTGTGTGTGTGTATCTTTTGTGTGCTGGGCAAACAGTTTGTTTACTCTTCCTTGCATTTCCAAGGAAACTCTCCTATATTTTGTCATCCCATGGAAAATCTCTAAACTATGGTAAACAGGTTTAGCTTTAAATTGTGTGAGTGCGACAAGAAAAACAGACTTAACCTTCACTTCAAAGGAATCATTCTGGCGTGCTTAACTTTTAACAGAAACGCTCTTTGTCTGTGTGATACGCTGTATTTCTGTAGGATGTTTGTTGCTTGTTGATGAAAATGAGATTAGAGTGTGTGAAACACTGAGAGCTGTCAGCTGGAACTCACTGGATCTGTGCATGGGGAAATTTCTTTCAAAGTGCTACTTTAGCACTGTACAGTATACAACTAATGTGTATATTTGTATATATACTGCATGGCCACAAGGTTGTGGATATCTGACCATCATGAGCTATGAGCTTGTTGGACATCTCATTCAAAAACCATGGGCAGTAATGTAGAACTAATTATTTTCACCTCCACTCTTCTGAAAAGATTTTGGAGGGTGTCGAAATTTGTGAGGTCAGGGGCTGGTGTGGGACAAGAGTTGGTGTTCCACTTCATCCAGAAGGTGTTCAGTAGAGTTGACGTCAGTGTTCTGTGCAAGCCACTGGATTTCTTCCACACCAAACTCATCAAACCATGGGTTTATGGAGCTGACTTTGCCCTCAACTGTATAGTCATACTGGAACACTTGTTACAAGACTGGAAGAGTACAATTGTCTAAAATGTTTTCAAATGCTATAGTACCGATGGTACCCTTCACTGGAAACACCTTAGCTCAGTAAAGTGGATTTACTAACCATGGGCAGTAATGTTGAGTCACTTCCTTTTGCAGCTATAAGAGCCTCCAATCTTCTGAAAAGATTTTGGAGGGTGTGGAAATTTGTGAGGTCAGGAGCTGGTGTGGGACAAGAAGTTGGTATTCCACTTCATCCAAAAGGTGTTCAGTAGGGTTGAGGTCAGGGTTCTGTGCAGGCCACTTGAATTTCTCAATGCCAAATGCATCAAACCATGTCTTTATGGCTTTGACCTCAAAGGTATAGTCATGTCAAAACACTGTTGTTACAAGGCTAGAAGCGTACAATTGTCTAAAATGTTTTTGTATTCTGTAGCACAATGTTACCCTTCACTGGAACCTAAGTTTAGTGGAGTTGATTTACTAAAGCCCATTCACTTTGCAAGGGAATACTTCCCAGAGCTTGGCGAATCTGGTAAAACGTTGCTTGTAGGCTGGTGCAATCTACAGTCCTCTCCAGTGCAGGCGGCACACATCTTTACCAGCAATGCTGAAGGAAGAAGTGAAGAAAAACTGGGTTTTTCTATGGTTTCCTCTGTACCCTGGAGCAGCGATCCAGTTGGTTGCGTTGAATCCAGGTGACCCTGGTGGCCATCTTGGGACACACAGAGTCTTTTT